TCTACGTTTTCGCTTGTAATTAGCACTAAGCAAGAACATATTCCACAGGAAACAATGTCCTCTGTTGTTAAAAGCGAAGATGAGACTGGGAATCCCACATCGTAGTGTGGTTGCTAGATGAGACAAAGAATGGTATCTCTAGACCGCCTTTTGACAAATCGCCCAACATTGCCTACTAGTGTGTACTAGACTTTAAAAAACATTCTACTTCAGGCTGGCTGAAACATTAAGATGGCCAAAGAAGATTGAAAAAAGTGATGTATTATCCCAATCCATGAAAAAGGTTTTGAATCAGGCTAATATATTATCCATGGTCTACAAAATGTACTCCTATGTTCTGTAGAAAAGACTAAGACTTATCATGGAGTGTTAGTTCGAGGAAGAACAGGCTCTAGAATACAGATCGAGGATATCTCTGTCCTATGAAACAGATTAGAAAGCATGGGACAGAGAAAAGAACACTAGCTAGTTTTCTAGAATCTGGTATGGGCACGAAAAAACTTCAACTTACCTCTCTACTTAGAATAGAAATTATTTTCTGGCATTGTTGAGCAATTATACAAATTTTGAAGTGCTATAGCATAAAGCTATCTGCAAACAAACCATTAAAACCACTAAAATAACAAAAACTCTATTAATTATATCAACAGTCGACAATAAAAACCTCAGTACTCGACCTATTTTTGTAACCTCCAGTCTCTTAGCTGTATATATATATATATATATATATATATATATATATATATATAATATATATATATATATATATATATATATATATATGCCTAGAGAGATTTGAAAGTTTTCCTATATATTCAACCTATAAATGATTATGGATTGTACATCTATTAGCTCCTAAACTGTTATTTTCCATTTTAAAATTTACTAAAATGAAATTACAAGATATTCAATGCCTGCTATAGATAGGTCAAAATTTGTAACACTAATTTTATGTTGATAATGTTTAGATTTCCCAAAAGCTATCCGGATAAGATTCACAAATAATATCCGATATAGAATTATTTAACTACAGTAAATGTATTTAAATATTAATACATCCATGAAATATTTTTATATTTCACTTCTTTCAGATAATTACTAGGAAATAGTTTTTTAAACAATGCCATTACCTTGATTAGGTGGATTTAAATACTTTTTTTTTCAAACTTAAAAGAAGTTTACATTTAGTTAGTAAATTTCATTTAATTTCTTTGAAATCATGTGATTTCCCTTAAATAGCATTAGTTTTCAGAAATTATTATTTATAATTTATCGTTACTTTCTATCCTACATATTATTTCTAAAATGTGTTTTTTTGTAGGTATTCCATAACTTCGTTAATTCTTCATCAAATTCTATGATTTACCACTCATTTTGAAGATATTCTTCTCCTTCACATTCGAAAAATAGTCCCATCTTCCCGAAATCTCTGAAAAAAAAATGAATGAAGGAAAAGAATCTTTATTTGCGAATAACTCAACAAGTATTTATTTTTTCCTTGATTGTACCCATGATAATTAGAAAGATAACTAAATTACTTACAAAACAAAAAATAAAATCCGAAAAATCGGACAATTATTAACAAAGATACAGTCCATTAGTTTTGGTATACTTAATATTGTCTTTCTCTTTAAAGATATTGCATTCAGGAGTAGAATAGTCTACTACACTTTTTTTCTTGGCTGATATATTAATTTTATTATTTCTTAAAGGCATTTGTTTCTTCTTAATTTTTTTTTTTTTAATTTAGAAAATCTCATAGTTGAGGCTTTATTTTTGTCTTTATTAACTTTATTATCTTTCCGGTCAACGTTTAAAAATAGTTCTTAGTAAAGCAATTTGTACAAATATTTTGGTCTATTATGTTACATGGAATATTGTAATCGACTAACAAAAAAAAATTAATTCCTTCCTTACATAATACATAAGATCTACTTATTTCCATGTTGTTTTGCTATTTATTTATGAAACAAAATTTTCTGTATATTATTCACACGGGGCAATTAGTATTAGATATTGTTTTTTCTAAAATTCTTCGCTTTCCAATGATATATTATACGTATACCTTCTGATTAGTATATCCGAAAATTCATTTTCGACCTAAATAAACATTTTCCTTTTTTTTCTCCATTTTTAAATTATCAAATTCTTTCAAAAGTTATGTTTAGTAATTTTTCATAACTCATAACAATGAAAGATAGTTAATTATTTCAAATGAACCAAATTAAAAAGGTACTTTAGAGGAAGGCATGTTGAACATTTAAGCCCTGTAATGTGACATCAATGGGGATAAGATCTCAATGATATTAAAGACCACTTAATTATACAATGATATACCGAGTTTAATCAAAATCATTAGAACCATTTTTGAGAAAATTGTAAAAATGTTGATATAAAGTGCCACTTTCAGTTAGCCAATTTTCATGAAAAAGTTGCTGTAACATCTGAGAAAATTGAGCTAGACTGTTCACACACAGACCATTTTGCGGGACTTTGGATTCAGGAGATCCCAAAACATGTATTTCCGTTGAAAACTCAGATTCAAAAATTTTCACCATCGCAATACTGTCCATTACTGTATATTTCATATTACTGTATATTTCATATATAGGTAAGTGAAAGTACAAAATGAGCGATAACAAAACAGGATGATTTTCAGATAGATACCGGAACAACTAAAATTGTTTTCTGAGCAATAGGATTGTAATACATCATTAAAATAAAGTAAAATATTCCCAAAAAGAAGAAAGGTTAGAAGAATAAAAAATAAAAAAAGAAAGAATAAAAAAAAAATGAATGAAAGATTTTAATATCTCGCTGCTATTGAAGGAGCATTGCAAATAATTTAATTAAGCAAATATTTTTTTGTTGCATTCATTTTAGTTTTACTGATGTACATTGACTATATTTTCCGAAAAACTCAATAAGAATAATTGAGTTAATTAAGTTTGACTGTAATAGATTATTTTATGAAGAATGAAAATACTTTCTTATCTTCATTCCAAGTTATTAAGTCCTAGATCCAAAGTGATATAATGGACTTGAAACATGAATAAACCTATAAACAACGAAAATAAATTCTTTGCTAAGTGAATGCAAAGAACCTCATATTACAAGTTTTTTAGCTAGACTGTTAACACACAAACCATTTTGTGGGACTTGGTTATTTTGACTCAGGGGACCTCATGACATGTATTTCTGCTGAAAACTCAGATTCAAAAATTTTCACAATGGCAATACTGTCACTTACTATATATTTCATATATATATATATATATATATATATATATATATATATATATATATATATATATATAGGAAAGTGAAAGTAAAAAATGTGCGGTAACAAAACAGGATTGGTCACATGCATAAACACACATGCAGAAAACTTTGTGGGACTTGGTTATTTGGATTTAGGAGACCTCAATACATGTATTTCTACTGAAAACTCAGATTCAAAAATTTTCACAATCGCAATAGTCACTTACTATATATTTCATATATAGGTAAGTGAAAGTAAAAAAGTCCCTATTTTATTGTTATAATAAACTACATCTCATTGTAAGGGTATTCAGGCTCATTTAACTGTTAAATGGGACAAAATATTTTCCTTTGCCTAATGTAAAGAATTTAATAACTGTAGAGGAGAGATAGGTCTCTTCCACACAGTCTTCAGCAGGGCTCGTCCCAATAATCAAATATAACCAATCAATTTGACTGAGGCCAATATAATTAAGGGGAGCGGGGTAGCTTATTGGTAGGGCACTAAGCTTCTGGTGCTCAAGGTTCCAGGTTCGAATCCCAGCTCATGGCAGAAAAATTATATATTCTGTTTCATTGGGCATAGTGCGACCCTTCTGGCGCACACCCAGCCCCTATAAAGTGGGTACATTTGATTAAATAATTAAGGAGAAAAACCTAGCGGTTGAGCGTGATCCTGACCCGATCCTCTCCCTGATCAATCGTAGGCATTGAAACAGTACTTTCCCTAAATAGTACTGAACCCAAGACCCTTCATAGGTTGTAGTGGTACAGGTTTTTTTTGCGATATAATTGATGCAATGCAATCCTTATATTGTCAATATACAGATGAAATTCGATATTGAATCAATAACATGGACAATGTAAGGATACTTTTCCGAGATGAGGTTTGTCGTAATTAATGTTCTTGAAGAGGCTGACAACAAGGGAACCAACATAAAGAAGAAAGGTAAAATAGATTGGGAGATAACACTTATAAAGTTGCTAGAACAAACTAAATCTATTACAGCATAAGGAAGTATGGGCCATTCAGATATGGGACTTAATACATCTGCAAGTCAATATACCTCTTCACTTTACCTACTGAAGTAAGACTGAAATTGATTTGGTCATGTCTAATGAAGGAATGAATCCCAGGGACCACCAAAAGTGATGGAAGCTGGACCCACTGGGAAGAGACCATGTGAGAGGGCTAGGATCATATACGTTCATTCAGAAAATTGAAAGGAAATGCACTCCATTAATGATGAAGCTACGCCAGAACTGTAAAGCCTGACAATGATAGATCGAGTCCATACATGTGAGAAAAGGCACCATAAGGAACAGAAAGAAAACATTTTATTTAAAAAATATATTTTGCTATTCCTAATTTAATCGGAAGTAGCAGATTTTGGGAAATTTCAAAAAATGGTGTGACCTGTCATCTAGTCAGCTTTGTTTGCATCGAACGTCAATCAAGAGTGTTCTTATTACAGATTACTTTGGTTGCCGATTACAATTTCATCTTAATTTAAAAAAAATAAAAGCTAGTGATATCTTATTAATAAAGTGAGGGATAATTAAGAAGGGAGAAGGTAATTTGAAAAAAGAAAAACGTTCCTATGAAATCTTCTTTTTAATATGGTTACATTAGGCCATTTGATACGTTCATCCTGATTTCTGTGTATGAAATGAGTTACTTTATAAACATTTTTAAGCTAACGTGATAAGAGGGAATAAAAAAAAAATCAATAAATATTCTAAAAACAAGTATATTTATTATTTCTATATTGCTTTAAGAGATTCTTCTATGATGATAGTTATAATAATTTCCTACGTCTCGAACCCTTCACTGTAGTCTCCCACACCCATAAAAAATGCAACAAAGAATTTATTTTTAAAGGAATGAATATAATTAAAATGCATATTGATAAAAAATAAAATAAAAGTAAAATATACTAAAAACAAAGTATATGGAATGATACAATTAAATAAATACATATTTACATTGAAAATAATTATACAATATAATGAAATAAAATGTATAATTTTTTTATTAATGAGTAATCAATAATTAAAAATATTAAAAAAAAGGTTAAAAATTAAAAGATAGTTGGTTTTTCTTTCACCAAATATAATAATTAGAATTTTCTAAAGGCAAAACATTAAATATATAGTATGAACTTAAATAATTATAATTGAATAAATAAATTGTCTTTTAAAATTATCCATGTAAAAACATTATATTGATATTGTTAGCAGCATATATCATCACGAGTCTAACAATTTCAATATTTCAACCATATTAATGGAAATTTAAAATGGTCGCCACCGACTGCATATTACCAACAACATGGCATAGTACCGATGATATTGTCTAAGCATCGGATTGATGCATTTTAAATGTTTCTACATTCTCCTATCCATTTTCACCAGAAGAGGTGACAAAAATGAATCCATAATGACAAAAGAGAAAACATTCAAACAAAAAAAGAAGGTTCAACGATAATTAAAAGAACTCAGGCGTCATAAATGAACCCAATCAAATAAACCATTCCATAGAGCAAATAGAAACAATGTTATATTTCAAGATATTTTGTATTGCCACCAGGCAATGAAGAGGTCCACGGAAGGAAGGAGGTAGGAGACTACTTGGCGAGACTTGAGGCTGGTGGGCTCGCTGCAGCACCAACCAGCAATTGACCCTCAGCTCGGGAATTTGCTGTAGAATGCGAAGCTGAGGTCGTAATTACGAAGTTGACAGAAACCGACTTCTTGGCACTGCAGCTCTCCAAAGTTGTAATATTTGTTGTTCTTCGTAGATAAGGAGAAGTCAGCAGCCACTGATTCCTGTGAAAAAAAAAAAATAAATAAATATATCATTATTAAGGTAATCGCTAATATTTTAAAAGATATTCTGAGCATATCCATAAGAATTAATTAGCAATATCATACCTTATTTGCGAAAAGAGTCAAAACAAATTTACGCGGACGAAATATATTCAGAACTCTTTGTATTACATCCCTGTAAGATGCTTGAGGTACGTTAGTTTCAAAGCTAACATAAGAAAATTCAGGCTCGGGAGTTATGTGTATAGTCATGTAGTTTCCCTAAAAAAATTTAATAATGGTTAGATTTGTATTAACTGAATTATTAAATAATTATAGAATTTTTTTTTTACTTACAGACTTATTAATCCCGTTCATCGAATAACCGCAGGGTTCAAATAAGTAATCATCAATCAGCATGCTTGGAAATATCTTATCAATCCCAGATTTCTAAAAAATAATGAAAAGTATTTAATTAAGTAGATTGAAGATATTATATTATTGAAATAAGATTAACCATCCAATAATTACAGCGATCTGACAGATCATCTTTTGTAAACACTAGACTTATTATGTAAGTTTTCATATATGTCAAAAAATACAAATCTAATTTTATTACTTCTCTATTTCCAATCGTATAAAATATACTTGAATCGTAAGGCGATTTGATCATAAAATCTATAAAAAATGTGGCCTACAATATTAGGGCGTTTGGTATATATATAACTACGTTATTTGACATGTTAGGGGTGGAAATTATGACAAACGGCCCAATATTTTTTATGCTGCCCTTTTTATCAATTTTGTGATGAAATTATCTTACGATTAAAGTAGATATTCATGAGTTTTGTCATTAAATAGACAATGTTTACTAATCTCTAGAGTGAATGAAGCCATTCAAGAAGCGTTAGACGGTTGTTAATAATTTGATAAAAAGGGATAAAACGGACAATTTTTTTTTTTTTCCCAACATAAGAGTGCACTGCGGTCTCAAGGAAACCTATTATGCGTCGTCCTAAACTTGATTAAAACAGGCCCAATGCCTTTGTGAACCTGTTAATACTAATATGATCAATCAGTTCGCAGTGCTCAGGGTCAGTGACACGATCACATCCAAAGTGAAAATATTGCAATCTAGCCAAATTATCACATCTACAAATAATGTGATAGGCCGTTTCATCCAGGTGGATCCAGTAGGCCACACAGCCTGCAGGTGGAGGTTTCACTTATACCCAAATTAAAAAAGTGCTTACTTAATTGACAGTGACCAATGTGAAATCCTGTCGCATGTCTAATGGTACTCCTGCCCATTAGAAGAAGTGATTTAATTCTCTTGTGACAGGGCCCTACTAGGAACAACTTAGGATGAGAACAACTTATCTCACAAATAAGCTCAGCTGCAACTGGCACTAGTGCAGAGCCTAGCAAGACAATCAGCTTTCTCATTTCCTGGAATGCCTGAGTGCCCAGGTACCCATTCTATGCTCATCTTGTTAGTACTACAAAGAAGGTTAAGATTTCCTTTACATTCATCGACCAACTTTGAGCGAGTAGCATAACTAATCAGGGCTCCAATTCTTACTGGACTATCCCTATATATCGTTATCAATCTATTCACAATGCCCTCCATTGTAACGGACGTATATCTACCTAAAAATATGAATATTCCCTCATCAGGTTTATCCTTTCTCCAGAAGCCAGCCCCTGATCTTTGTTCCACCAAGGATCCGTCGGTATAACAGTTAACTCCATTACATGATCTATGTGAGTTATTCCTGCCAATCTTCAAATTATATAGTGCATCTTTATAATTATCGACTTGAAGGTCAGAGTTCATCACAAACACCTCATTGCTATCAAAAACGATCCCATGACCCTTTCAGGAATTTCGATCTCGTTCCCAGTTTATCCAATCTATAAGCAGTTCTGAGAGCATGTACTTCCACCTCTAAATGAAATAGTGTCAGATTCAAAATAACCTACATTGCAGTAGTGGGAGTAGTGCTCATAGCTCCCGTCGTCATAAGGCTTGCAAGCTTTGGAAAAAAAAATGGACCATTACTTTAAAATAGAAAAAAAAAAAAAAAGCTCGCCACTATAGTTGCATCAAAAATTTCTAGTTGGAACAATTTTGTTCCGAGGCTAATCGAACCTCAATTGATGGTGAAGTTTCTTTACCTGTGTAGCTTCCGCAGCAGTAGCTGAATTTTTCTTTGTGAATATTGACATGACTGTTGGATCCAAATCAGTCATTAAAACTTCTAATGTTTGGTCGGGTTCCAGCTTTCTTCTTTTGCCGCTTGGTTCATCGATGTTATTATTGGATATTAATTTAGTTCCCTGAAGAGTGTAAAGAAACCAGCAATCATAATCAGAAGAGCCCAAGCAATATCCAACACCATCTGAAATCAAAGTAAGTAAGATGATTAAACTAAGGAGAATGGTGTGATCGCTGTATAAGGGCTTCTATAACATAAATCATGTAAGACAATAAAAAAAAAAATAATAGATTTAAAGAATTTCACCTTTAAAGAATTTGTCAAGATAAGCCACCTCTTGCTCAAAACTTATGTGAGGGAGTTTTTGAAGTTCAGGTTTCTTGAAGTTTTTTCTTGAATAAAACACATCCTGAAAGTATGAAATGAATAAAAAATGAATTAATATGTAATTATTGTATTTTTTTATAACTGTTAGATTTTAGGGAAAACACAAGCAGCATAAGGAATGTTTTGAAAATACATAAAATAATAGTTCTAAATAAAATTTTAAAAATATAAAGGTTCTTTATATCACCTTATTTTTATTCATGAAACTTTTTTGGATATAATTCTAAGAAGTTTATGAAATATTTCATAATAGCAAATGAGCAAAAAAAAAAAGATTTATAAATGACTCCTTAAGAGCAATATTGAGCTATTAGTTAGTTATAAAAGATATTTTTTGAGGACTGTAATAAGCATTCTATTGAAATAGATTTTGTTGATATCATACCGGCCATGAATTCATATTTTTTTTTTTTCAAACCTATTAATTTTTTTATCTCTCATTAAGCTAAAATTTTTCTTTCGAACTTAATGATTTTCATTAAGGAGCCAAGTTTGCAACAAGAAAAACAAAGTAAAACTGTATTTAAAATGAAAATTTCATTATATTTCACGAGAGAGATTCAGAGAACCTTATCTTTTAATTTTCAATCCAGACAATTATTTCTTCTTAAAACGTTCCCTGCCGATCAACATTTCCAAAAATGATTCCACCAGGTCTATCCAAAAAGCCATATACATTCAAAGAATATATTACGAATTTGATTGTATGTGGCATAGGTGAACAAAAACATTCTATGGAATAATTCGTAGCTAGGGCCTATGAGATAACTCGTTGTTGGCATGGAACGTGTTAAACAGTCTCAAGTTTCTATTGATTTATTAAACATTTTTTCTTATTTTTATTTTTGTTATTGTTATTTTTATTTAAAGGGTATATAGCAAATTTATTTGACATATAGAATTTATATTTTGTCTGGTATCATTTCACAAATATGGATAACATGACACAAGGATGACTTGTAGGACAAGATCAATTTAATCACACTAGTACAGGGAATGCCGTGAATAGCAGGGTATCCGATAATACCACTTTTTGATAATATCAATATTTATGTTAGGGAGTTATTTTGTTTTTTGTGGCAAAAGGCACTGTGACCCATTGTGCACGACGCTATGTTAGGTTATATTTCATTTTCAACAATAATAATATATTTTCTCAGTCTCTTGTAATTTTTTAATATAGGAATTTCCATTCAGAATCGAACAAAGATAATAAAAATAAAACAATGGTGGTAAATGAACCTTCATATACATCTAATAATAGAAATTCCTTTAGGAATTAATTAAATAATAAAAAAATTTCAAACAACAATCCTCATACAACCTGCATTTTAAATTTATCTGAAAAAAATATTAAAACAGACAGCAAAGAGCCTGTTTAATTAAAAAACACTTTGTTTTACTAATTCATATACCTATCTTGCAACAGCCAAAGATTGCTCTTCCGTTAGGTTGCACAGCAATCGACATAACAAAAACCTCATAACCTTCAAATTTCTGAGAACAGATATTAAATAAACATAGTAATAACCTCTTCTACATAAGACATAAAATATGCCTTTGAGATAAAACTCTGTTGTTTTGATTTTATTTGAATATAAAATAATATTTTTGATTATTAGGTGAAATTATTAAATAATTCAGCTTCTACCATTGAAACAAATAACATATTAAATATTATTATAGTTGATGATGAACAATTGCAATATTAAAAATTTGCTTCGATAGACATCATTCTGCATGTAATGAAAAAAGATTTTTTTTTTTCAAGAGGGTTAACATAATTATTATTTTTTTTCCATAAAAAAATAAACCTAAATGCCACAAAAAAACTTGTCAGGCTTATTTGAAGAATGTGCTGAAGGTTATGAAAATAAGAAATAAAGAAAATTGAAAAAAATAAAAGTAAAAGGCGATTAATTAATAGAACCAGTTATACTGGAACAAATATACAGTCTAACTTCTTTAACTCAAATATTGAAAAATGGGAGATTCTAAGTGTTAAAAAATAAAAAAAATGTTAAACTTTACAAACATTTTTATGAAGATTTTATGGGACTATAAGAGAAAACATCAAACTTTGAATACTTGGAAAATCAAACAAAAGATAACAATAAAAGTCCTGAAACTTTAATGGTAAAATGGATTTAAAGTAATGTTATTTTAGTGATATTTCTAGTTGGAAAAGTTATTTCTATACAGACAATGGAGTAAAATAATTCCAGAGTAGATGATTGCAGTGTTGAAATGTATAAATATATTTATATAATAATATAAACTGTGAATAAAGGTATAAATTTTGCCACTAGAAACCACTAAAATTAATAATAAAGAATGTTAAAATTGGAGTTAAGTCATTCTGTCAACTGAAAGGCTCATATATGCCTAGAGTGATAGGACTATTAGTTATTAAACTGTTATTTTCAATTGTAAAGTTTACTAAAATTAAATTACGAGATTTTCATTGCCTTACCATGGATAGGTCAAAAGTTGTCACATTAATTGTAAGTGGATAATTTTGGGATTTCACAAAGGGAAAATTCATCATATTATTCACTAATTTAATTTTCAAAAAGATTACTTGATGATTTTTTTGGAATAAATGGCCAATAGATACCTAGTTATTTAAATATATCATATCTGGAGGTTAGTAAACTACAGCAAATGTATTTAAGGCAATAAACATATCCATGAAATATTTTTAAAATTCACTTCTTCTTTTACACAAATACAATGAAATAGTATTTTAAACAATGGCATTGCCTTGATTCGGTGGATTTTAAATAATTTTTTTTCAAACTTAGAAAAAAATTAAAAGTTTACATTTAGTAAAAAAATTTCATTTAATTTCCTTGGAAACATATGATTTACATTAAATAATGTTAGTTTTCTGATATTATTATTTATATTTTTTTTTGCCACTTTCTGTTACCTTCTACAACTTTATTTATTTGATATTATTTTTTCTAAAATTATCCGCTTTCCAACGATATATTATACATATACCTTCTGACTGTTATTTCCGGAGATTCATTTTCAACCTGGATAAGCATTTTTCTTTTTTTCTCCTTTATTCAACTATCAAATTCTTTCAAAAGTTATATTTAGCCTTTTTCCGTAACTCTTAACAATGAGAGACAGTTCATTTTTTTAAACAAACCAAATTAAAGGTATTTTAGTGGAAGACAAATTGAATATTGGGTAGATAAGACCTAGCTGATATTAAAGACGTCTTAATAATACACTAATATAACGAGTTTAACCAAAAACTTCAAAGCCATTTTCGAGAAAATCATAAAAATGTGTAAATCCGATTATATTAAGTGTCACTTCCAGTCAGCCGATTTTGACGAAAAAGTTGCTGTAACATCTCAAGTATATACAAACCTTATATATGCAATTTCACTATCATACCACTTTTCGATTTTGAGCTAGACTGTTCACACACAGACCATTTTGCGGGACTTTGGATTCAGGAGACTCTAAAACATGTATTTTCGTTGAAAACTCAGATTCAAAAATTTTCATGATCGCAATACTGTCCATTACTATGTATTTCATATATAGGTACGTGAAAGTAAAAAATACAACAAAACAGGATGATTTTCAGATAGATACCAGAACAACCAAAATTATTTTCTGAGCAATAGGATTACAATACATCATTAAAATAAAGTAAAATATTCCCAAAAAGAAGAAAGGTTAGAATTAAGAATGCAGAACTGAAGAACACAAATTACTAAACAATGTAAACAGAAGAATAAAAAAAAAAATGAATGAAAGAGATTTTAAAATCTTGCTGCTATTGAAAGAGCATTGCAAATAATTTAATTAAGCAAATATATTTTTGTTGCATTAATTTTAGTTTTACTGATGTACATTGACTATATTTTCCGAAGAACTCATTAAGAATAATTGAGTTATTAAAGTTTGACTGTAATAGATTATTTTATGAAGAATGAAAATACTTTCTTATCTTCATTCCGTGTCATTGAGTCCTAAATCCAAAGTGATATAATGGACTTGAAACATGAATAAGCCTATAAACAACGAAAATAAATTCTTTGCTAAGTGAATGCAAAGAACCTTATATTAAAAGAAAAAAATGCCATTCTCAAGATCTAAATAATTTCTAAACAAAAGGCAATAATGAGCAAGTATAAAAACATAAAAATATCCATAATCTTCTCATTTTCATTCCCCAACTCATTCCCGGTATTCATTAAATCAAAATAAACCTGACACAATTGATCAAAAACTACGAAGCTAATGAAATCATCTTTGTTTGAATATGAGCATTAGTGTTTTAATCAATGCAACACATTTAATCAACTATTGCATCGAAGAAAATAACAATAATGTAATAATCAACAAATAATAATTAATAAGTATTCCTTTCTTATTAATTTCAAAAATAATTTTTAATACCCATGCTATAGATTTACAAACCAATTATTACATCTCGACGATGCTTAAAAATAAGGGCTTTTGACAATCTTCGAATCGCTAGGTGCAGAAGTGGGGGCAACCCTAAAACAATTTTAATTATAATCAAAACAGGGAGAATGTTATAATCATTGTTTCCAGTAAGAAGTTTGTTAGGTTATATTGTGTCTCTTTGAGGTTAACTTTTCATTAATATTAAAAATTGAAGGTGGCAGTAAAAAACAATTTTGACCAACATCAAATTGTACTTACATCAACTTCAGTAAAACCTGCATATTGCTCAACTAATTCAAGAAGTTGTTTCAAACATTCAAGGGGTGTTGTGGTGCCACACGTTTTTAATATAAATCGTCTTTCAGCGACGAACATACTGCTTTCACTAAAAAAACAAAACAACATAATTATAAAATACATTTTATAAATATAAAAATATCAATTTCATTCAATAGATATACTTAATAAAAATAGAATATGTTCTCGGTTTATTGCAAAATGTCACTAATCCTATTCATCAGGGATTGAAACAGAAAATAAATTTTTATTTTATTGTATTTATTTTTAAATTTTCAGTATCATCGGAATTTTTTATTGTGAATATTTTATCAGCCCATTTGGAATTAGACCTATTTTCCTTACATTTTTTCAAGTAAAAGTTTACAGAACTTTTATTTTTAAAACACTCATACTTGTAAGTTCTATCGATTTCGCTAAAAAGTCAATCTAAAAAAGGACTTTTATTCATTACTACTCAAACAACACATTAGAATCATGTATAATTCATTTAAGACAAATTATAACTCTAATCTAAGCCCAATTACTATTTATTTTTCATTTACAGGATTTTTTTTTTTTTTTATAAGAACTTGAACAGATAAAAGTTAAAATTTTACTATAAATCTGGAACTCTATTACAAAAAAGTTCCTTAGAACTTTTACGAAAAAAACGTTTTTCCTAAAAAGGTTTCACAGAAACTGTTAGGTAAAATGGAACATTTTAAATAAGTTTCACTTAAGTTTCAACTCCAGTTATCAATAAAAAACAAAACAGAAAGTGAATCAAATGACACAAACCCTTTTAACTGTCAAATATAGTTACAAAAAGGGCACAGTCCACTGATTGTGATCAATACTTCAACAAACTGATGTATTTAAATATCTGATTGAAACAACTAGCTCAATGTTAGATGATATTAAATTAAAGTATTCTTGAAAAATAATAAAGCAACGTGTTTCCACAGTTAATTGAAAAAAAAGGAAATTACAAAATGTAAAACCATTCTATATACAACCATTTTAGTTATTTCTTAGTCAAATTATGATTAAAAAATCGAGGAGGTCAAGGTTATCTTGACATTATGTGATGTTATCAAGCAAATGTTAAAATGTTACATCACTAAAACAAACAAAAAAATGGAGCTATTCATTCATTCAGATATATGATTCATATAATGGATAAGTATTATATAATAAAAGATAAGTTTGAAACAAGTAGTGTAGATTCTATTATTGTACACTTGCTAATTTAGTGGATTGACCTAAATGAATCTAAATTAATACGAACACTTGAAGACGGTCTATAGATCAATAAACCTTGCTACTCTTAGAAATACAACATGAAGAACATTATTTAAATAAAAAAAAAAAAAGAAAAAGAACAAACATCACTAAAAATATTATAAAAAAAGATGGCATTTAAAATCGTTATGGGCGTGAATAAAATCAGAATTAAGTCTAGTGTTCAAAAATCATAAAACATTGTTAGTTAATTATGTAAAAATAAAAAGAGAAACTAAAGATTTATATAAGTTTGACAATGGTTGCAATAATAGCTATTACTTAAAATAAATCACATTTCGGTGCAATCAATAAAATCTGAAAAGTATACTAAAAGAAAGATGTACTTTCAAAAACAACTAAAAATAAGCAGCAATAACTGTTTTAACAAAACAACAAAATAAACAATCTATTGGATCAATTCTAAGCAATTGAAAAGAGCAAGCAAGATAAAGATATGATTATAATTAAAGACATTTTTAAGAAAATATCAATATAATTTATTGTAAAGTATAACAAAGAATTTGACACCAATCTTGAAAAATCAAGAATTTATTAAAGAGGAATAATATATGACAATATAAATAAAAATTAGAATGATAATGGATCGACAAATGAGCCAACAGGATCTGAACTTTGTTTTAGAGGAGATATATGGAGATTTTTATATTTTCTTTTGGACATTTTTTAAAATAGAAATTGAAAAATATATATATTTAAATATTTATATACACTATAAAAAATGTATCTTTGTCAATTTTCATATAGCTTATATTCAGAAAGAAAATCGCAAAACTGCTTGAATATGTGGAGAACAAAATATCATATTTATTTTTAAAATGTGAAATTTCTATATGTAAAATATATAAAATTAAAAAAAAAAATTGTAATTACTGTAAATGGTTGGGATATCTAGAAGTGCAAAATAAAAATACGGACACAAGGAGTAATGAAGAAAAATCTTTGCTAAAAATAAATAAGAAACCAATGATAAATTAAGTCAAAAAATACTTTAGCAATTGGGTAGGTAAATGGGTTTGGGCATATACCCAAAAGAAATTAGCAACAGGGAATTCCAATAGGGTATTATTTTTATCAGAGGAAGTTCAACAGACAAAAGTCAGAAACGGTCACATACCACAGTGATTGCTGTTTACTAATAAAATACCATATTAATTATAATAATATTTTGTAATATGGAACTTGAAATACAGGCTTCTAAGTAGCCCAAATACCATTCTTGAAAAACAATTAAAACAAAGTCAGTGATTGTATTAAAGTAATTGTATACATATAAATATAGTATTGTCAATAGGCATGGACAGTTTATTTGGAAAAAAAATATAGAAAGTAGTAGTTGACATTGACTTCTGTAGTTTACATAATCCTACAGCCCTTAAACAACAAAATAAATATCAGTAACTGGTGAAAAATTATTTAAAAAATATGCTAAGCTGGAGTTAAATGTATCAGTAATAATAGAAACAATTTTTTACACCTTGGAATAGCTGCACAGGAATTAAAATATATATATATATATATATATATATATATATATATATATATATATATATATATATATATATATAAACAAAAAAGAAAAGTTTTATTTAAAACATTAATTAATTTGTTAGCAACAAAAATATCAAGCGGAAATGACATACTAAAATATTGATATTAATATTAAGAATATATGAAAATTCTATTCTTAAAATTTATTAACAGATTAAAAGAAATGAGATGATTAGATTTAAAACCGGCTAAATCTGTTTTTATAATTTTGAGAGGAGACACCAAACCAAATGACTGCCTGATTTGACTTTTTAATTCCACGAGTTTAAACACTTTTTAATACTAAATTGATTACTTGAGAAAACAAAATAAAAAATTATATTTAAAAAAATTCGATTACATATGTCATATGTAAGTTGTTAACAGCATAACACACAAACATAACCAAATTTATGTTATTCTGGACAAATTTTAAGTATTATTTAAAATATATTCATCAGTTAATTTTTAATAATAAAGTGATATCAAGCATATAATTCCAAAATCAGCCAGCTCCATTTTAATTTTTTTTATATTTACTTCTTTAAATCAAATCACATTATCATGAGGTAAAATATTTAATTCCAAAACATTTAATCACAAACAATTAAAATTAACTAAAACAAAAAAAAAAAAAATTATTTAACTCATGGAAATCTAGAACTATAACTATTGACAAACAAAAATAAAATATGTGAACATGAAGAGAAATGGTTCTGGAATTCTATATCTCATAAATTCAATTAATTAAATTTTTTAAAAAATCCTTAACATGTCTTTCAAATATAAATTTGAATGATGATATTACAATTCATTAAAACATTTTTGATTGAATATTGTACTAAATATATAAACTTAATGCATGGTGCTGGCAAAAAATAAAAATAAATTGTTTTTTTTTTTAATTTGAATGTTTAAATAATTATTTTAAAAAAAAATCTATCATCATTGGAGTATGCCAAATAAAATTCTCTTATAAGGAAACAACATTTGGTGATAAAGTAGTTTCTAATCCTGGATTAAATTACTAAGAGATATAATTTATCTTAGGAGTGGTATATAGATATAACTAATAAAATTTAGGGCCATATAATTTAATATATGGGATACGGTTTTTAAAAGAAATTTAATATTGATAAAATTAAATGAATATAACATGTATATATAAATATACACAAAGTAAATGTTTTTAATTCTGACCAGGGATAATCAACCAGAACTAAGGTTTATGTTCAAATGAATCACCTTGTATATATAAACACACGAGATAAGCTGAAATAGTATTGATCAGATGCTATCCACATGAAACACTAAATTCCATGCAAAGAATAAATGATTAATAAAAAACATACTTATAATTTTAATATAAAATTGCTAATAAAAAGGTAATATAAATTGGACCAAGCATTTTTTTTTAAATTAAAAAAAAAAACCGAATTATTTTATATTTAATTTTAGCTAGACTGATACGAATATTTGACCAATATATAAATTGTTAAATATAATATCTCATTAAATTGGGAAAAATAATATTAAATACAGAAAATAAATTACTGATAGTTACAGTTGTTGAGTACTTTAAAAAAAAAAATATTATTAGAGATACAACTAAAACATGAAAAAGATAAATATTTTTTATTTGTAAAGAAAATTTTACTTTGGCATTACACCAAACTTTTTTTTCTCCTCAACAATTTTGGATGCCTAGTGATGTAAAAGTAAATTATAAGACTATAAATACAGAATGATATAAGGGGAAGGAAAAATATTTTTAAAATAAGAAAACAGGTATACATTCACACTTCATTTGTTTGTTATTTTCAATAGAATACATACCTTAAAACATAGGCATCAACTTCATCATTTCTGGAGAAACTTATAACTTCACAATGTACAGTTTTAAGAAGGCTTTCGAAACAAGATCTGTTAAAGGAATGAAATAATAGGTTATTATAATTAAACTTTAATAATATGATTTAAATCATAAAGATAGTAATGTAATGTAGTTACTTATTTTTTATGTAGTCTAAAAAAGTTTATTGTGTTATGTTTAAGGTTTAGTTTTTTTGTAAGTATGTAAGTAAGAAAAATATGATAATATATCATCAACTTACCTCGGTATTTGACGGAGATCCCCTAGGGAGGCCGGTGGTTTTTTAAACCAAATCTCAAGAAGTTTCTCAACTCCTTCGAAGAAGTGATCTTCACATATATTACCAGTATCCGACATCGCTCGGTGTCTGAGCAATCCTTATACCCCACTAATTAAGCGATCATTAAATAATTTAATTCAAACGAATCGAGTACCTAGGTTGAAGCAGTATCTCCTTAGAGCCCGGGTGAAAATTCACTTGCACATGCGTTAAGTTCAGACAGCTGACTGAACCGCGCTATCGACCTACACGCCTTCCTAGCCAATCGTCGCCCTTTTAACTTGAGGAGTGGGGGGAAATTCAAAACGAGCCAACTTTCTAGAACTATTTGAAATAAAATTAACCATCATTCCTGAACGAAACATTTCAATTGATAATGAAAAGATTATCAGATACTTCATTGAACAAAATTGTCAATAATTTAACCTAGTTTATATGCAACTAATAAAAAGTTATCTCATATGAATTTTATCAAAACTAATACAAAAAGGTTATATTTTAAAATTGTCGTGAGACGTATTTTTAACTAAATCTAATAAATGTGATTGGAAGGATTAATAAGGTCTTTAATTTACTTTAATACCCTAACGTTTCGGTCCTTTGTTAACCATTTTCAAATTCTAACTTGTTTAATAATTTTCTTTTCGTATTCCACATGAATCATTCTTTTGGATTTAAAGTTTCGAGATTTTTAAATTTGGTCTATTGCTCAATACCCAATAGTTTTTAGTAGAAAGATTCGTATATAGCAGTTTCATCTATCCATCGATCAGTCTTTTTGCCTATTAGGAATCACTAGCGGATTCAGGATTTAATTTTGGGGGGAAGCTTCAGCCCGAAAGATTTTTTTCATCTACAGATAACAATAATTAATTAGAAAAAAGAAGAAATAAATTAACTACCTATATGAAATGGTTCTTAAGTGGTTCTTAAAGTCCTATTAAATGTAATTACACGAACAAGAATACCTTAAGAGATAGTTTTTAATATTTTTTTCTGTAAAACATGGTTACATTTTACCATTTTGGAGGAGCTTCAGCTCGAAAGCCCTCTCCCCCTCCCCCCGTAGATCCGCCTGTTTTTTAGGAAGTATTCAAATGGCCGCCATATTTTTAAGCAGCGGCTTTGGAAATCCAGACAAGCGTATTTGACTTGGAATTAGTGGCGTATCTGATCCATTTGAAGTCCAAAAATAGAATCCTAATGGTGTGGGCTCCCTTTATTTTTGAACAACATGTTTTTCAAATTTCATAGTTATTATTTCATATTTATCTATTTTCATCGTCATGTTTAATATGCTCAGTTGAATAATTAATTAATTGAATATAAATATAAAAGTTTAATTTAACTTATTTTTTTATTGGGGCTTGGAACATTAATCCGCACTCGGCCCCAAATGGTCTTGACTTTCCACTGGCTACAGAATCAATGAACTTCGTCTTAAGAGCTGACTTAACTAAGTTCGCCTCTAAGAGATTGCATTTCAACATTTAAGAGTTTCTTCTGTAAATTAAATTCAGTTTATTAAGGCTTGCATATTATTTTTTTTTTTACTATTCTTATTGGTTTAACTTTTCGGGCTTTCGTTACCAATTTTTAAAAGCTGCTAACTTATCGTTCATTTTATTTCCATATTACACATGTCCCATTTTTAGAGCTTAAGTTTCGAGGACTTTAAATTAGTAAATTCCTTACTCAAAAGTTGTGTTTTTAAAATTTGTTCTGTCAATAGACAACAAAGAGTTTGGAATGGTTGACTGTGAAATACCAAACACCTTTAATGGAAAGATACTTGTATCAAAATTTCATCTATCCAGTAATTATGGTAATATATGGCTGGTCAAAGGCGGATCAACGGAGGGGGGAGGAGATATATAGAGGCTTTCGGGCTGAAGCCTCCTGAAAACATATTTAAAACATATTAACAACCGAGAAAAAAATAGTTTATATAATTTCAAACAAAATTTATTTTTGCTTTTGCTTTGTCTGAACTTTAAAGTCAGTATACATCATTCGATTTCATTTTTAGATCTGAATGAGAAAAAAATATTGACTATGGTATTAAATGATTATTATAGTTTTATTATTATCAATATGGCTCCTTCCCGGGAAAGTATATACAATTTAACTTACCTCTAAGAATTAGTAAAATATACAAAACAAAGTGTTAAATTCCAAACATTTAATAAAAAATTCAAGATATTCAGCAGAGTATTTTTGAATTAAGTTTTATTATTATAATTATACCATTTTTACAATAGAAACATTCTTATACGATCTCCGTGTAGAATAAAGGAAGAAATATTTAAAAAAATAAATAAAAAATTGTTTAATTTTTTTTGACAATTAAACTATTGCATTAATATTTGTTCATTAATAAAATAAATATAATGTACCAAAAATGTTATTATAACACTGTAACTATGCCACTGTAGCAGAGGCCAGTAGGCACCTAAACCAGTACCACTTTTCTACCGATCAAGTGCATTTTCTACAAAAGCAGTTCAAATATTTTAAAAATTTATCAGTGTTTTAGAAAGAGAAATATATCCTCTAGATGTTTTATTTCAAGACATTTTCGTCATTGTTGGCCGTGGCATAGTAAAGGGGTCTGGCCCACAGAATATTATATACAAATAATATTATATATTATATACACCTTGTATTGTATACAAGGTCTGAGAGTTGAATATGTTATAGTGCACTAGCGGATCCAGGATTTAATTTTTGGGGGGGCTTCAGCCCGAAAGCTTTTTTTTTCATAAAAATAACGATAATTACTTTGGAAAAAAATAAAGAAACTAACTACCTATATGAAATGGTGTTTAAGTGATTCCTAAAGCCCTTTTAAATGTAATTACACGAACAATAATACTTTAAGACCTAATTTTTTAATATTTTTTTCGATAAAACATGGCTATATTTTACCATTTTTGGAGGGGGGGGGCTTCAGCCCGGAAGTCCTCCCCGTAGATCCGCCCGTGTTATAGTGTAACATATTGCAAAAACCAAAAGGCGCCTCTAGTAAGGTAGACCAAGTCATTTTTTGTTATGAAAAAGCAAGTTAAATTAATTTTTAGTGTCCTTTCTAACTCTTGATACCGATATTTCATAGAAATCCAAAACCGTAAATTTTAGTAATTGATTTTCTTGCAGAATTGTTTTACTTTTCAAAGATAGTGAAAGCAGCAGTTTTCGACAGGGACCCAGTGTTGGACACATTGGACCTTAAATGTACATAATAAGCTTCCTTGTAGATTTAAAGGTTCAAATTTTTTCTAGATTAAAGAACAATGCCCTCTATTGACAACTGCATGTCAAAGTTTCCAAAAGAAAATATTAAAATGCACTGTTGTTTCTACAGTGCTCTTAAAATCATTGTACTTCGTACCTTCCTACTAACAGTTTTGCTAAGAGTAAGTTGAACATTTATGTTATCTTACTTTTATCGTTATCTTTATAGTTACCAGGTACCAAGCCCTTGTCCATTACTAGAACAATTGAATTTCGGGTTACCCATCACTAGTGCAAAAGGTTGTTTTTTAAAATGGAGCTTATACCTGCATTATTGAATATTTTTTTCAATTTTAAAGTGTTAAACAGAAAAAGGAGGGATGCTAAATGTCCATCGAGAAGTTCATAACTACAATAATTATGGCGGCATAAGTAAAAAAATAAAAAATTTTCTTAGCTGTGTCCATCACCGGTGCGCTTACTCTAACAAATTTTGTTTAAAATCATATAATTTTTTTTTTTTGGCTTTTTATATTTCGTAATAAATCTGCTATTAATAAGTTTTCAGAAAATTATCAAGTTAAAAATGCAAAGAAAAGAGCTATGAAAAGCAAACTTGAATTAATAAATGATAGTAATATATGGTGTAGATAAAATACTATTTTAGCTTATATTATTTATTTGACCGAGCCCCCAACCAACTCCTTTTCACAATAGTAATATATTTTTAATAAATTTCTTTCTTGCATAATATCCAAAAAGTCCAACAGACAGTATGCTGAGAAACTAGAAAAATATTTAGAGTAGGAGCCATAACTTAAAGGTCGACAGGTAATCTCTTGACTTATTGCTCCAGGTAAATACCTGAAGGGCTTGAAGGCAGGTAGACCCAGCTCATCGAAAGGGACAGGGGCCTTTGGAATATTCCAGGCCCTACAAAAAATAGTAGCATGTCATAAATAAATTTTGGACTTGGTAATACTTGCAAGTCGGTCATTTTTGCTAAGGTAAACTATTTGCCATGATTATCTTCTACTTTCTCAACTATTCGTTATTTTATTTATAGTTCATGGTACAGACCCCTTTCTATTAAATTATTAACATCCGCCTGAAACTTAATAAATAGCTTCATCTCATTGTAACCTTCAAATATTCTATTTACGAAAATTCTCGGAATTGGGGCATTTTCAATCTGGAGGACAGAAAACTTTGTCTATATAATTAAGTACTAAAAACTCGTAAAAACTCATTTGCTTTCCACTTGGTTCGTAAGATAAATTGGTCGCAGAATCGATAAAAAAGGTGATCTACAAAAATATTGGGTCGTTTAATCTATATAACCTCTTTATTTTGACGATTTGGGGGTGTAGTGATGTCAAACGGCTCAATATTTTTGAAGGTCATCTTTTTTATCGACTTTGTGCTCAAATTATCTTACGATTCAAGCAAATGAGTATTTACGAGTTTTCAGTACTTACTTAAATAGACAAAGTTCTCCGTCCTCTAGATTGAAAATGTTCCAATATCGAAAATTTTAGTAAATAGTATATTTGTAAGTTATGTTGAAATGAAGCTATTTATTAAGTTTCAGGCGGATGTTAATAATTTGATAAAAAGGGGTCTGTAGCACGGAATATTACTAATAGTTCTTTGAACAAAAAAACACTCTCTTTCAAAAAAATTTTTAGTAATTTTTATTACTTTCACTTATATTTACGATAGGAAAGGAGCTTTCGGGCTGAGGACTCCTAAAATGACAAAATAATTTTTATTTATTGGTCCATATTTGTTTATGGCCCATATTGGGTTCAGATACTAAAACATGGAGAAAGGACAATAAAGAACTGCTTACATAAACTGAAGGATGTTTTTAGTCAAGATAACCAAGCCTCACAATAGTATGTGTAAATGTAAACGACCTAGGAGTAATTTTTTTCATAAAACATGATTATACTTTACCATTTTGAATATATTTATATTCATAAAAAGAAACATAAATAAAG